AAACAGTCACTCAAACATCTAAGCCATGTGCAAGCACCTCTCCCAACAAACAGTCCTAAAGTAATGGAGAGCCACAAGTTCCTGACACACAGCAGCACGATCAATTTCTTAAAGGTGATCTGAAAGCTGCTTTCACTGTGAGACCAAAAGACGGAGTCAAACTGTCTTATATTAATTTTACTTAAACTTTTTTTTTTCAAGCAGTCAGTTTTCCATAATGAATAAATACTGCAGGACCGAGCTGTTGTTGGAGCCACCATGTAGCTTACTTTCTAGCAAAAGCAAAATAAACAAACAAACAAAAAAACCCCACAGCTCTTAGACTTATCCATTCACAACCTAGTTGGAATGCAGAACACTGTATCAAGTTCTGATTTCCAGAAAGCATTAAATCCTTCCTCACAGGAGTTGTCAAGGGTGGCAGCATGCAGGATCTGAACTGTTGCAGAAATAATTCTTAATGTAGTGACTTTGGTCATTATGGGAAAAATTTTGCTGAAAGTTTTAGGTTAAAATCTAGTAAATTCAATTTCTTGATTTAAATATTACGCACAGATTTATTTTGTGAGTCAGTATGGACCAATTAAATGGGAATAGGAAGAAGTGAGCTGAACTAAAACCAAGGGCCTGAAATGATGCATAGGATACTGTCTTATATTCACAGAATTCAGGTCAAGATCAATGAAGACATAAAGGCAATTCTAATAGTTCTGACAAACAGACTGAAAATATATCTGGAATAGCAGGGAGCATAGCCGTCAATTCTGGCAAACTTCTAGGAAAGAGTCGGAGCAAAGTAAGAAGTACAGGATGGCGATAAAGTTGCCATACGAAGTCAGAAAGTTGGAGCAGGGACTAAGCTGGTTGGTTATGAAAACAATGAGGAATTTAAAGATCAGAAGAAATGGTGATGCGGGAGGAAACAACCTCATGTTCTAACAATCAAAAATAATTTGGAGCAACTATGGATAATTTCATCTGAGGGATAAGAATGAAACCACTGGACTTGGCTGTAGTTAGAAGGGATAACAAGGAGGAAGAAATAAAAATAACTTCAACATTTTCAATATGTGTTTTGGCAGTTGGTAATACATCAGCTGAAACAGAATGAGATACTAAGGGGGGAGATTCAATGTGTAAAATGAATTCAATGTTTTTCAGTGTCAGAATTTATGCTCTGGTGAACTTTGGAATAAAAAAAATCTGGATCACAATGATGGGTAATATAAATTTCAAAGTCATCATTATAATGCCATTGCTTACATCTTGGACAGAAAAGTTGACTAGGATGGGAAGAAGTGAGATGAAAGAAGAGGATAAGAAGCTATAACTAGCTACTCTACTACCTATTTCTACTCAGTGATCATGTGTATTAACTAGTTGCTCTTCCTCAATCACGGAGAACTTTGGCACATGGCTCATTGTCTTCTCTAAGACAGTTACCACAACAATACAGTTCATAGTCATATAACATATATATTTTATATATATATACCTTTAGCAGGTAGGAAACCTTCACTAAATATTCCGAAATTCATGTCCACAAACCGGTAATTTATCCCCTGCTATTACAATTCAAAGCACTTAGGCCTGGGTGTTCCTTACAAGTAGAATCCATATATTTATACAGTCTTTCAAAGCCTGTACAATTTTCTGTTGCTACTAATCTATCACTGTCTACATTTATTCCACTGCATTCTTACCATTGATCCTCTATTTTGATTGTTGCATGTGTCCCAGGAGCTGCCATTTCCTGTTATTTTTGTATTTGTTTAAGCTCATTTCTTGTTTCATCTGCCATATGAAAGACTGATTTGCTTTTGTTATTAATTAGCCAACATTTATGTAACCCCTATATAAATAATTATATCTAAGAACTTCAAAAAAATTTTAAGATTTATTTATTTTTATTGCAAAGTCAGAGATATAGAGAGGAGGAGAGACAGACAGGAAGATCTTCTGTCTGATGATTCATTCCACAAGTGACTGCAACAGCCAGAGCTGAGCCAATCCAAAGCCAGGAGCCCAGATCCTCTTCCAGGTCTCCCACATGGGTGCAGGGTCCCAAGGCTTTGGGCCATTCTCTACTGCTTTTCTAAGCCACAAGCAGGGAGCTTGATGGGAAGTAGGGCTGTTGGGACTAGAACTGGCACCCATATAGGATCCCAGTGCATTAGTGTGAGGACTTAAGCTGCTAGGCCACTGCGCTAGGTCCTCAAAATTTTAATGATTGTAATTTTAATGGAAACTCATAAGAAGGATACACTTGGGCCTGGCGCAGCAGCCTAGCAGCTAAAGTAATTGCCTCACACATGCTAGGATCCCTCATGGGCATCGGTTCATGTCCCAGTGGCTCCCTGTTTCCCATCCAGCTCCCTTCTTGTGGCCTGGGAAACGAGTCGAGGATGGTTCAAAGCTTTAGGATCTGTTTCAGCATAGGAGACCTAGAAAAGGCTTGGATTGGCTCAGGTCCTGCTGTTGCAGCCACTTGGAGATTGAATCATTGCAGGGAAGATCTTCCTCTCTGTCTCTTCTCCTATCTGTATATCTGACTTCCCAATTAAAAAAAAAAAAGATGAACACACTTAGGACACTATCTGGAAGAGATATTCACACCATCAAGCAACACTGGTATCTCCAGTCTGGACCACATGATTTTTCTCTTTCTGGATCTCAATAGAGAACCATTCACCATGCAGTGAGAAAGGCCAGTCTCCTGTGGAGTAGTCACCTGAAGAGGCACAGATGGAGAAAAGTTGAGGCCACTAGCCCACAAACCAGGATCTACCACCAGATATATAACTGAATAAGCCTTTAGCTGGTTTTTGTCTCCCAGTCTCTGAGTTTTTAAATTGAAATACCAGATATGGAGCAAAGATTAGCGTTTTACTTCGGTAACACATTTTTTTCCCCTAAATCCAATGGCATCTTTCAACTTGTTACTTGATTCTTTGAAATGTTTAATACAATCTACCAAACTTTCTGTCTCCAAATATTTTTTTTCTGATGTTTTCTGATGTTTAGTTGAATCTATCTGGTCCTTCATCAGTAACTGCAAGTTATTCCCATTTGGTTCCTTAGGGATCTGTCCTAGGTCCTGTCTAGATCAGGCGTTCTCAGCCGACACATCCATGGCTTCAGTTACATTCTACATGCATCAATGTCTTCCCAAGTAATGATTTAGACCAACTATCTCTTCTGTACTGCTGATAAACGTATCAAACCACTAACCAAGCAGTAGAAATACTCTCTTGGATGTTTCACTGATGCCTCAAACTCAACAGGCATCAAAATGAATGTGGTATCATCCGTGTCAGATTTGCTCTGTTTTTCTTATTTCAACAAATGAGATAAACACCAAGTTTTATCCAGGAACCCAGGATAAAACTGTCTTTACTCCTTCATCGTCAATCCTCATGCTACTATATAACAGTCAAGTTCAGTTAACTCCTAATGCCACTTAATGCAAATGATATGAACTCAACTCTGCTACTATGATAGTCTTGTCTAACATTCCAACTGCCTTTTTTTTTCAATTTATTCTCCAGACCATAACAAGACTATTTCCAGAGTAAAAGTTTGAAATTGATGTTCTCTGTTTAATACCTTGAAAAGCTTCTCATTTCCCCAATGATCAATTCAGACTCCTAATAATAACCAATATATCATCCACTATCTCTTAAACAGCTCTCTCATGCACAGTCTGTCCTAATTTCTCTTTCGCTTCTTGCTCTGGAATTCTACCCTGACAATATCTGGCACTTGTCTTCAATTCTTCTTCAATAAGGTGTTTACATAATTAATTATATTATTTACCTGGATATATTCAGAGAGCCTACTTTGCCACACTAACATACGTGTCTTTAAAAGGTCATGGAAAATGTGAATATTATTTAAAATACACCAACAAAAATTGTGTTTGGATTTCATTTGTTCATGAATTCTTGGGATTTTCCCTGTCTATCCATCTTCCCCACCTGTACATCAGAGAACTCCTTATAAGCAGTGTTCAGTGTTTACTGAATTAAAAATTGGACTGATAAAATTTGTGTCAAACATATAGCCATGTGTAACCTCGGTAAGAACTCTTGATATACAAAGTGAGAAGGGGAATCATGCTGACAAAGATTAAAGCATAAATTACAAGTACAGAGGTAGAAATAAAGACCTAGTCAAATTTTTGATGTATTAAATGAAAATAGAAATAGTGAAGTTTAATGGAAGTCTCATAGATGGTAGGAGTAAAAGACACCATTAGAATTTTTACTATTAAGGCAAAAATTATCAGATGTTTCCACAGTAACCCATATATCTGTTACATCTTTGTGCAGTTTAAACAAACCATAAATTCTCTTATATCCTATGTTATGGCAGTCATCTCAAACAAGGAGTATATAGTAGATCTTACTCTATTGTGAAATAGTAAAAAACAAAGAATTAATCAGACAAGTTTAAAGAGATAGGCCAAACAGACACTGAATAACAAAGCACACCACATTTAGTATAGAATGAAACTGCAGGTTAAATCACTAGTAAAAACATACATATTGAAGTGAAGGATAAAATGTAAAATTTCTTATCAAGGTTTTTATTTTTAATGCATAACATAACATCTAACCAAAGAGCCATCCCTGATCTCTCTTACACATGTAAATAATTAAGCAGTCTGTTCCCAGGTAAAATTTTCATCTCTGTCCATTTCTCAGGAAGCCAGAGTCTGAGGAAGAAAAATCTGATCTTGAGGTTCCCTGTGAATCTTACCTCTGGCATTTACTTTTGCCTTTGTTGATGAAAATGAACTTACATCAAAAGACAATGAGCCATTATTGCAGGAATCCTGCTGAGTTTGTGATCTGCTCAGAAAGTGTCAGGAGTGTTCTGAGTATGGCTGTGAAAATGCTTCAGAACCTCTCTGCATGCCGGAAACGATACCTTCTTAATGCTGACATTTGGAATAGCACATGCCTGTTTTATAGTGAATTGCACTTTTCCCTTCTTACCTTGCTGTACAAAGGATCCATACACAAACCACATGGAGTTGTAGAGAGTCGTAGATGTCATTGATCCCATTTGTAATCGCGGGGGATTAAGCCAGTTCAAGAGGTAGACCAGCAGACCCACCAGAAGGACCGTCCCAGCAATGCAGGCCCACAGTGAGAGATCAAACGGTGCTAGGCAGGCAAACATGTCCACTGTCTTTTCAGCTCTTCGAAGGAGTACGCCCACTGAGTAGTCCATGTAACGTGTGGTAAAGTCCACCACATTCTCACGATCGGGGGTGATGGTTAAAGCAGAAATTCCTATGTCAGCTCTCTGAGAAATTGAAAGGAAAGGGAAAAGATTAACCATGCTTAATTTCTGGTGTACACTGAACAGACACAGGTCTCAGGCAATACCAGGTCTCAGGCAATACCTGAGGCCTTTTTACATAAGCTGAAATATACTAGTGAGACTTTAGGGTTGAATTTTTCAGTTCTTACTGCTCCATCACAATCAGACAAATCACCTCATCTGTGTTCCCAGTGCATATGAAATATGGCAGTTCCAAAGCAGATAACGCAGAGATAATGGTCCTGTTCTTGAAATATTTTATCAAAGGCATTGTTAGCACAGTAACAACAGACTTCTTACTAAGACAGTATTTCCAAGATATTCAATAGGTTCTTACCATGTATATTATTTGGTAAGTTATGTTAAAATTTGAGCATGACTTTTGGTTTAAATTTCTCTGTATCACAGTTTACCTTTTTAGACCCTAAATGTTTAGATTTATTAGTTTCCACATATTAAGTTATAATGTCATATGATAAGAATGTATACTAGGATTCTATTATAAAAATTTAGAAACATTTAATGGGCAATTAAAGGTTAAGAAGACAGATAATTCATTGTGATCAAATCTCTTTTCTCAGGGTGTCTCTTCAGTTCCTTAGTGAAATTGGTAACAACTATAGTACTTCCCATCTTGCTTATTTAAAACAAAGCAGAAATGCAATGCAGTAAAGTACAGAATAAATGACTTCACATTTAAATTCTACATGAGAATACACATTGAAATATCTAGAAGATGTATCTTATTTGAAATAATGATCTGTAGTTGATTAATGTTATGAGAATCCCCTTCCAGAAAAATAAAAACAGTAGTAAAGGGGGTGTTGAGCTGTTTTCTGGGTATTGTTTAGAATAGCTTAGGGTGTATTGGGATAAATTCTTGAAACATTTGGTAGAATTCAGTGGTGAAGCCATCCAGTCCTAGGCTTTTCCTTTTGGGGAGAGATTTAATTACTGATTCAATCTCCATCCTGGTTATAGTTCTATTGATATTTTTAATTATCTCATTCACTTTTGTTAAATTATGTGTTCAGAAATCTATTTTGAAGTGAAGCACCAGAAGCAGTGCTTTCCCAAGTGTTCTACCTTAGCATTCTCCTTTTGAGCCCCTTCCCCACAGGTAGCTTTGAAGGTTCCCATAAGCCACATCTGGCCTCAGTCTATTAACATGTGGCATTAAACTGTTTTGGGTGTTATGTGGCTCTGTTGCATGCATTTTTCATGGTTTCTTCTCCTTGGCAGGAAGTATCTTGTGTCGGCTTCCCCATTCTCCCTACATAGCAATTTACGGAGAGTAAGAATAGGGGTTGGATTCTAGTCTTAACTGCTTTTATGTGACATTTTCTGTAGTCATGTGGATTTCTTATTTGTACTTCCAGTGATCTTGCAATATTGAGGAGGAGACATGGAAAATTGAGATGCCTGTGGCCACTGTGTCTCCTTCAACTGGATTGTCTCAAGGAATTCTTCCCTTAGTCATCTTTTAACTATTTGTCTTTTCTATTAATCACATAAAAGATTAGCACAACATATGTTCCCAGAATTAAGTAACAATTCTATTCCTGAATAAGCACTATTTTGTAATGCTATATTGTAATATATGTTAATATATGCAAATGGATTAAATCAGAAGATATATTTTAGTATTTTCTTCATGTGTATATTTATACGCAATATTGAATGTTTCACTTTTGTGTGTGCTGCTATTGTCAGACTTTCTTTTGGGAATTACCCTAGCTTCATAAAATTACTCAGATCTTTTAATCCAATTAATCTTTGGATTAATTATTTAGCTATTCTCTCCCAAGAGGAATAAAGAAGAGAGGTAATTATTAATTCATTTGTAAATAAGCTACATCTTTAGCACCAAAATACATTTTTAAAACTTTGTGGAAAATGGCTTTCAAGTATAAGTTTATTTGTTGTAAAGACATGTTGAAATGCATGCGTTCAAGGGCAGCCTGGGAGGAGTTCCAGGCTGCTGTGCCCGGATGATGAAGCTTACAGTGCTGGGGATCATTTTCATTTCCTGTTGTTGCTTTGTTCTCAGAGTGTGGCTTCCAATTTGCAATGTAAGGTGGCAATTTAAGCTTCAGACATTGACATTTCAGCCAAAAGGAATGATTTATATCAGAAAAAGGACAAGAATCCTTTAAGAACATGTCCCAAAAGCTTCACATGACATTTCTGCTTAAATCGCATTGGTTACAACTTGGCTAAATGCTAAAGCAGCTCAGGAGAGATGTTAGGAAATAAATTTTGTGGTTAATCTGTTCTATCCTGTTCTGTACTGAGAAAGTACCATACACAGAAAGGTGCTTGGACAGTCAAAACTGATACAAGAATTTTTAAGACTCTCTTCAGCCTTCACATGTATATTTTTTCTGCAAATTTTCATAAATATATCATAAAAGTACTCTTCTGGTGAAGTAAACATAGCTTTTTTGAAGACTGCGTAAAGTTTTTTAACTGATTTTTTTATTTTAGTAGAGAAAAAATAGCACAAAGCTAGATATACAGTATTTACTCATCATGAAGCTATCCTGATTAAGCGATTTCCTTGGAAGGATTTATAGAAAATTCTTTTGCTTATTGTAACCAATAGGTATTTGATTTTTTAAAAAATTTAGAGTCTATTCAATTGAAGAATGTTTCTTGGATCTTGCCATAACAATATCTCTAGAAATTACTATTTTCTCATTTCCAACAGATGTTTTATCTCTGACAGCACAATAATGATAAAATTAAGTTTATATACTGCCTCATCACCAACCCTTTCCCCAGAAACAACATGGCACTCTGATTCTTTCTCCACCAGATCCTCTGGTCATGCATTTAAACATACTGATGTAAGTGATCTAATCCTAAAGACAGCTGCATTTTCACCAGTCTCCAGGCCAGCTTTTGTGTTCTAGCCTGTAAAAATATATTGTTCCCATTTCTCATGGACTTTTACCCAAATCTGTGACATTTTCCTTGTGCCATTTTATTACACTTTCTTCATGTTTGTCTTTTATGTCTCACATGGTATTTTCACCATATATCTGTTTTATATTAATTATCATAGAAACCTATTGCAAAAAGATTAGAGTTTTAATTTCATTAAAAGGTAAATTTCATGAAGGACCACAATGGGAGAGATCAATGGGGAAGAGTAAGGGACTTAGGCAGGTGGACGGGAAATTCCAGAGCCTATGGAACTGTATCATAAAACAATAATTAAGCATATTTAAATAGAGATAAATTTCAATCCCTCTAGAATTTGCTTAAGATTATTCCTGTAGAGGTGTTTGGTAAGAGGTTAAACCATCTCTGGGGTGGCATACATCCTATTTTTTGATGCCTTGTTTGAAGCCCATTGTTCCCTATAGCATTTGTTATTGGGTACCCTTCAGGTCTTCTACATAGGTGCAGAGACCTGGATCACTAGAGTGCCAGAGACTATAACCGATGTCCATTTAGAATGCTGGCCTTGCAGGCAGCAGCCTAATCCATTATAGCACAGTGGCATTTCCCCTCCCCACTTCCACATTTTAACACCACTACTATAAATGTTTCCAGATCTACAGAGGAAGAGGACCACACTGAACATAAAAAAAGGAGAGGTATGCAATGGTCTCACACAAGCATAGGAAGCTCTGCATCAGACTGTAGTTTCCTTTAGCTTGACACAGCTGAGCCTTGTCAGTGTCCAGAGGTTTATTTTTGTTCAGTAGTTTAATTAGGGAGATCTTATTTGTAAGCTTTTACTTATAAAAGCAGTTTATGACCTTAAGATTTAAAAGCAATTCAAACCTGAATTATTCAATTGGCACTAAAGCAACCCAACAGTTGTCTTCCACGGCTCTACTACTGAGCAAACACTAGAATGTTAGGAAACATCCCCAAATGGGATTGGACCATTAACACCCAGATGGGCTTTTATATTTATTTATATCCCACAGTTTTGATATTGTGAGATACTTCATTGTGCTTTATAAAGCTAATCTTTTAAATTTTTTTTAAGATTTTTATTTCTTTTTTTTTGGAAACTAAAGTATATAAAGAGAAGGAGAGACAGAGAAAGATCTTCCATCCACTGGTTCACTCCCCAGGTGGCTGCAACAGCCGGAGCTGAACTGATATAAAGCCAGAAGCCAGGAGCTGCTTCTTGGTCTGCCATGCAGATCCATGATCTCAAGGTCTTAGGTCATATTTCTTCTCCCAGGCCACAGGCAGGGAGCTGGATCGGAAGTGGGGCAGCCGGGACATGAACCAGCACACATATGGGATCCTGGTTCTTGCAAGGCAAGGGCAAGCTAACTTTTAAAAAAATATATAATTATTCATTTTATTATTTTGCAATGATACTGCTCCATAGGCTCTGGGTTTTCTTTTCTTTTCAATCACCTCTTCCCCCAACACACATACACTGACTTCTCCTATATGATTACAATAGTATAGTCCTTGATAACACTCTTAAGTCCATCATTCTGCTCTTTGCGTATCTTCACATCTGGATATAATAGTCTCTTGCAGTTAGTACAGATTACCTTGCATGAAAAGTCATAAAACAAAAACAGGAAGAAAAAATAGAAAATTAACCACAACATGAAGTTAAATAGCATGCTAAAGAATGACCAGTTTGTCAATGAAGAAAATGATGCTACTCTGTGACCCATGGGTCATGGGTCACAGAGTAATAAGAAATACTTTGAATGAAAAAAAAATAAAAACAAAACAAAGGCAAAAAAATCTTTGCTAAGATATAGCAAAAACAGTATTGAAAGAGCTATTGATCCTATATTTTGCATGAAGGTTGCTTTATATCTGAGAACAAGATCCTAAATCTGTATCCAGAAATCATGAAACTATTAGAGGAAAACATAGGAAGCACTTTCCAAGATAAAGGAATTGGGAAAGACTTCTTTTTTAAAGATTTATTTTTATTATTTTTTTCATTGGAAAGGCGGATGTACAGAGAGAGGAGAGAGAGAGAGGAA